ACACCACTTAGTCCCTAAATAAGAGGGAAGCTTAGAACTTATCTTTGATAATGTCTGAGTTGAGTAAAGTTCATTCAATGACCCCGCGGTTTTTACAGCCTCTTGGCATCGAATCAAAAAATCAGAAAAGGAGCGCAATCCGGTACTATCTCCATCCTTAATTGTCGACCAATTACGTAACCTAGACTTGTGGGCCTCTGCCACATGCACTGGATTACCAAAACGTTCATCGAGCAATTTCCGGGCCTCTTGATAAGCATTATCTGAATTAACAGCTAAAAAACCTTTCACCACTTCATTAGCCTGTCCGACAGTATATTTATTTAAGAAGTAAAGACGATCCTTTCCAGTTGGGACTTTATCGCAAATAATAGAATCGAAGGCTGTAACGAATGAAGGATAGTCAAATACGTTCCCGCTAAATGTTGGCGGTTCCTTGACAGGAAGATGATTCGTGATTTGTTGCTTAGTTAACAATGCGCTTAACTCTGCTTGTTTTGTTTGCACTTGAACTAATTGCTGCAAAGTACTCATTAAAGGTTCTGCGGTTTGTGTTGATGGCACGTGGGCTGATGACATCAATTGAGTGTTTTCATCTACCGGAGACTTAGATTCGATCCCAAGTTTACATTTTGCGTCATGCTCGATACTATGACCGTCCACGGGTTTTGGCAAGGGGGACAAAGGACTATGCGCCTCTGGTCGCCTCGAATGATCATCATGAATGCCTAAAACAAGGTTTGGTTGAATATTCGGCTCGTCGTGTTTGACATGAGTAGCGGGGTCAAGTTGTTGTCCCTCATTCGAAACCTGATCTTCATTTATAATGCCTTAATGGCGTCTTCCTCAGCTATTGAGACTTCCTTCAATAGCTGAAGTCGGCGCAATTCTTTCTCATGCTCGAGAAAGTCGATTTCTGCTTCTAGTCGCATTGAGCGCGCTGAACGAGAACTGGCTACACTTCCTGAGCGATGCGAATCCTCAGACTTAATTGACTTGGCTTTAGTATAACTGTTGATTCTCTCAAAGGATTGAATGCGATCTATTAGCCTTTGTCTACATTCCATAAATTCTCTGTCTCGAAGGTCAAACCAAACATAGTATTCGCGCTTTTCAGATTTGATTTCAAGCGCGTCATAAACATTCTGATGGGCATGATTAAACTCTTCCTTCAACTTGTTCAAATCTATAACGGTATTGCAGATATAATTGCAGATATAATTGCAATTAATAAAGCGCAACACTATTTACCTCTGATTTCGTTCATTGCCATTTTGAAATTGACCTGAAATAGCTAAGACGTGGGTTTCACCGCCCGCAGGGTCGTGACTCGTAAGTAGCGCCGTAAGTGGCATCGTAAGTGGCGGGATAACAGGATGAGCTGCTAATAAGTGGCAGGATAACAAGTAGCGTGGCAAGAAAATGGAGAGAAGACTGATGGCCCTTCCAAACCACCGTAATAAATAGCAATCACAAATCAAAACACAATACAGCATGTCCGATAAAGATTCCCTTTACAAAAAATACCATAGGCAGCCCAGACATGTTTTCGTATGGCAGCTGTTACCACAAAAAATGTTACACGTGTCAAATGAATGGACATAAACAGAAATCATTCATAACAAACAGGAATGATTCAACATGTTTAAAAATGTTTGAACTATTGTAGTAATATGACTGGACAAAACAAGAAATGACTTGTTCAAATTTGAAACGATTCACTTCACTGTGCATTAATTCGGCTATTATTGCGCTGATTCGCATGGACCAAGTGACATGGCTTCACGTTTTTTGCAGTGACGCAGCAAGTTGTATAAGAGTGACACACAAACAATTCATGCCATCTGATGTGTTTTAAAATAGCTCAACTAAATTCAACATGATTTAACCAGATGAAACGCGATTCAATCTGATATGCGACAATGTAACTTAATGTAAAATGCCTCAGTTAAATGCGGCGTTTGTTCGGCTAGATGTGAACAGATTCAAAACCATGTGAAATCGTTCAATTACACGTGAAATCACTAAATAAATGTGAAATCACTCAAGCTGTTGGTAAAATCCCCAAAGTCTATGCAACAATGGTGAGAATATTACATTTAATATGACATTTAAAATTATGTTATTTGCTTGAATATTCTCAAATTTATACAATTATACATTATGGTGTCACCAAAAAATTATTTAGAGTAATTTTGGAGTCATAATGTGGACACAGTAAATGTATTGATGCCGGTTGTGTAGATGCTGGTTGTGTAGATGACAACTGATTACAAAACACAAATTGATCACATATACACCAATATCCCTGAAAGAGTAAAAAGTAGTGGTGTTTTAGAATCGTACTTTAGCGACCATAAGCCTATTTTTGTGTCACTCATTTGAAGTTTTAGTTATTTCTAAATATGGATATTCAATATCTAAAAGTATTAGGTGACTATTTTCGCAAAAAAGTGAACCTCAGTTGAACCTTGTTAACATTATGTTGGCACGTTAGGAAAAGCTAATGTTAACACTAACTGACATATTTTTGAGAATATTATAGTCTACTTTTGTATTTACATCCACTTTTACAAACTCTAATAATACTAAAATCGTGAAGACCGATAACAGGGGTATATTATTGGATAAATTATATCCGCGTATCCGAGTGTATGCAAAAACAATAAAATTTCAGATTACTATATGTCCTATATGTGCGATAAGCTAAAAAGGTTATTCAGTCTTGATCTCCAAATCTCCAGAACAATAGATACACTGACTAGAAGATCCTTGTCCTTCACTAATTGGAAGGTGAATGTCCCTATCTACTATGTATAGGGACAGAAGATATTCCCGCCGTGACTTCAAGGCTTTAAAGAGGTAGGTCTTTTTAATATATATTTTTTCATTTGTGATTCTCACTTTGTGTATTTTATATAGGATATATTTTCATTATTTTAGTGACATCATGATCATGCATCGTATTCACAAAAGATGTATGTTTCATTGTAAAAGGAAGCTGCCTAAGAAAATGAAAGCAATAGTTAAGGTATTAGAACATATTTAATATTACGTTACGTTTGTCATCACATCTAGGTATCTAATAAGAAAAATTTTACCGTCGATGCTTAAACCCCTATAATGCTTTCATGGGACAACAGGTTGTTTTGGTCGCCATAAATTGGCTTCAGGCAAACAGAGTAACAGACGCGAATTTTATATGCAGTTATATATAAAGTTCACTGGGTTGAAAGAGTTCATGGGAAGAGTTCAATTTGTGTTCGAACGCATATTGACAAAACGATGTCAAAATAATGCTTTAAAATAAGCCATTGTTTTAAATACTATTCACTATGTATAATGTATACGTCTAGCAAATGAAGGAAATCCTTGTCTGTGATGTGATGCTTTAAAAAGATAGTAGATTCAAATGGATTAATTTGAATAAGCGTCTGGCAACTGCTTGCTCTAAAACGGTCGGTGTTGTCGTAAAGTTGAATGTTCATGCTCGGTGCGCCAAATTTTTCTTTATTTTTAAAATTCTTACAACACTATATTGGACTTTTTTTCAGCCTCCTTTGTCTGAAAAAAGTAGCTGCTTACAGTGCCATAATCTAACAAATAGAAACTAAACTGCTACTGTGATGCTTTGCATATCATGCAAGTTGTCCATTTGTGAGGACATGCATGAGTACTCATTCTATTTCGTCATTGGTTACGTCATGACGGAATCACGTGAGATGGCGCGCGCCATTTCTAACGTCAGTGCACAAACCGTTTTCTAACGATCAGCACGTCTTTTGTACTTCGCTAAAAATAATCGATTTCTTTGCGGACCCCGCCGAGAAAACCGTGTTGTAAGTATACTCTATTGACTATGCCAACTTCCAAGGACGTAGACGACTCGGATCGCCGCGAAAAAAGGCCAAAATCCTCTGACTCAGAGGTCGATGCCAGGGACGATGTGCTTGACAACAAGCAACCTTCAGAGGAAGAAACAGAAAAACTTCTCGAGTACGAACGTCCGAAGGAGGCGAATTTACCTAATTTGGCTGAGATTTTGCAACAAGTGTCCTCGAATATGACTCGTATGGACAAAAGAATGGACAACTTTGAAGCAGTTGTGAAAGGAAGGCGTTCTAGACGTAGGTCGTCATCAAGTGACTCCAGCTCGTCGCGCTCTTCTTCCCCCTCAGGAAACGAACGGCGACACGCCAAGAAACGTAAACGCTCTAAGAGCGAAGACAGAGGCTCTCCTAGCCCTAGCGTAGACACTGACGCTGAAAAACTTATACAATCGGCCTCGAAGGACCAGCCCGCCACGGGCGATACAAAGGGCGACTCGCCAGAGGCTCAAGATGACCTTTTGAACGATATTGCGAACGAGTTTAATGCTGATGAGACGTTAGGCTCACCTCTCCCGACTCAGCTGGCGGACATTGTAAATAAACGATGGTCCGAGAAGATGTCGGACACAAAACTGAAAGACAAACTTGACAAATACGGTCGCCCGCCTAACTGTGAAAAATTGGCTGTTCCTAAAGTTAACCCAGAAATCTGGGGACAAATAAGCCATGCAAAAAACAACAAGACTTGCGACTCGCAAATGTACAACATGCCATCACTAAAGCTGGCACAGCTGTGACAAAGTGTATTGAGAACTTGCTCGAGACACGCCAAAAAAGTACACCTTTATCGGTGGACGAGCTTATTAAAACTGCCACAGATGCCCTGGCACTTTTGGGGCACGCAAACGTCGATTTGTCACTCCGCAGACGTGAATACTTACGCCCTTGTTTAAATCAAGAGTATTCTACACTCTGCTCGACGCAATATCCACCGACGAGCCTTTTGTTTGGCGACGACCTTCCGTCACGCCTAGCTAATATTAAAACAACTAATCGAATTGCTCAGTCAGTGGACGGCAGTCACTCGCGCCATTACAAGGCGCAATATGACAAAAGAGGCGCTAGATCTCAACATTCGCAACCCGCATACTCTACGGGCAAACATTTTTTATGGAAAGGCCGACGCCCAAATTACAACAACAACAGGCAGCCACAGTACAGAAAGAAAGAGCGGGAAAAACGGCCACAAAAGTGAATGACGTCATCGCAAAGCTTCAAACTTATAAACAACAGGTAACTGAGTTTGACACATTTTGTCCCATGTTGTGTGTTTATCTGGAACAGAAATTACAGTCCTTTCGAGGAGGGCAACTCAAGCACTACTATAACGAGTGGGTGAAGCTAACCTCAGACTCTGAGATACTTAATACTGTAAGTGGTTTATCCATAGACTTTGTGAACCAGCCAACTCAAAATGACTGTCCTAGACCTTACGCGCTATCGGGTTTTGAACAGTCTGTTATTGATGATGAGATTACTAAATTGCTATCTAAGGGTGTTATCACCACCTCCTGTCATGAACCAGGCGAATATTTCTCTAATGTTTTTGTTCGAAAGAAAAAAGACGGTTCTTACCGGATGATACTAAATTTAAAGGGGCTTAATAGAGATGTAGAATATCATCATTTTAAAATGGATAATATTAAAACTGTTATAAACATGATGAAGCCCAAGTGCTTTATGGCATCCATCGACATCAAGGATGCTTACTATACTGTACCCATTGCAGAGCCTGATCAAAAGTTCTTAAAATTCATATGGAAAAATACAATTTATAAATTTGTGTGTTTTCCAAATGGACTAGCAGTTTGCCCCCGTAAATTTACCAAACTTCTCAAGCCTGTATATGCAACACTTCGTGCTCAGGGGCACGAGTCATCAGCCTATATAGACGACTCTTATCTTCAAGGCGACACTTATGAGGATTGTACACACAATGTCATAGATACAGTATCTATTTTAGACACAGTAGGGTTTGTGACTCACCCTAAGAAATCAGTGTTTGTCCCAGCCCAGGAAATTGTTTTTCTTGGTTTCCTGTTGAACTCTATTACTATGACTGTAAAGCTTACCAGTGAACAAGCCTGTAAGATACAGAATGCTTGCCTAGGTCTTAAAAACTCTAATATTAAGGGTGTACCTATCAGAGAAGTGGCTAGAGTGATCGGGCTCTTGATTTCAAGCTTCCCAGGGGTCCAATTTGGCCCACTTTATTACCGACACATTGAGTGGGATAAAACTGGGTCATTGAAGGCTTCAAAAGGGAATTTTGACAAGAAGATGCATCTATCTGTCCCAGCTATAAATGAGCTGAACGGTGGATTGCCAATGTTCAGCAATCATACAGTAACATAAGTCATGGGAAACCAGATTGTGTCATTCACACAGATGCATCTATGGTGGGCTGGGGGGAGTACTTAATGAGACCTCCTGTAGTGGCTCCTGGCTACCTGCTGAAGCATCTGAACACATTAATTACCTTGAGCTTAAAGCTGTGTATCTTACTTTACAATCGTTCCAAATGAATGTTTCAGGGAAACATGTTCAACTAATGGTAGATAATACAACTGCAGTCTCGTGCATTAAAAATATGGGCACATCCCACTCCCATGCTTGCAACCAGATTACATTTGAAATATGGTGCTGGTGCATCCAACATTCTGTTTGGCTGAGCATTGCTCACATTCCAGGCATAGATAACATAGAAGCAGACAAGGCCTCAAGGCAAAATAACCACCACACAGAGTGGATGCTCTCTAAAGAGTTGTTTACCCAGAGTGTCGCTAAGCTAGGTGTCACACCCCAAATTGACCTGTTTGCATCACGCATCAATTATCAATTAAAGCCCTATATTCCTACCACCCAGACCCTGAGGCACATGCTGTAAATGCATTTCACTTTGATTGGTCTAATGTTATTTTCTATGCCTTTCCGCCCTTTAGCATAGTTCAACAAACCCTTTGCAAAATCAGAGAGGACCAGGCAACAGGGCTTCTCATAGTTCCAAATTGGCCCACACAGACCTGGTACCCTCAGTTGTTGAGAATGCTGATACAACATCCGGTTTTACTACCAAAGGACCCATTAACCTTAAAATTACCAAGCCAGCCAGAGACAGTACATCCCTTCACCAAACTCTGACACTAATGATATGCCACTTGTCAGGGCGGTCATCACTAACCAAGGCATTTCACAAGAAACTTGTGAGCTTATCATGTCGTCATGGAAGGTTGGGACCCGAGACAGTATGGCTCTTACCTCAGGAAATGGAGCAAATTTTGTCATCAACGAGGGATTGATCCAATTTCACCACCTTTAGCAGAGGGTCTAGAGTTTCTACGACAACTATTTGATGGTGGCTTGGGTTATAGTGCAATAAACACTGCTCGCTCCGCCTTAGCTTCGGTTATTACGTTACCTGGTGGAACATCATTTGGATCTCATCCCCTGGTTTGCCGTTTGGTTAAAGGTGTATATACTAAACGACCATCCCTTCCCAAGTACAATGGGATATGGGATGTCAACCTTGTGTTATCATATCTATCTACCATTCCACTGCCAGACATCAGCCTTAAAAACTGTTCTTACAAGCTGATAATGTTACTGGCCCTACTATCCGGCCAGAGGTGCCAGACATTACACGCCCTAACGCTAGATGGAATGGTCCTCAGTTCAACAAAATGCGTTTTCACAGTTAAGTCTCTCCTCAACACTTCCAAACCCATGAGTCACCTCAGACCAATAGAGTTACTTGAATATTCGGGGGATAAAAATATTTGCGTTGTTAGTCACCTACACCGTTATTTGAAGTTAACAGAGCCTGTCCGTTCAGATTGTAAGAAATTGTTCATAAGTTATGTCAAACCACACAATGCGGTATCCAAAGATACCATAGCCAGATGGCTGAAAGAGGTTCTACAGCAATCGGGAATCGACACATCGGTGTTTAGTGCTCATAGCACACGCTCTGCTAGCACATCGGCTGCAAAAGCAGGTCAAGTCCCGATCGAGGAGATACTAAAGGCGGCAGGATGGGCCAATACTAAGACCTTTGGGCAATATTATAACAAAACTATTATACCTAATGTTAATTACGGCGACATGCTGTTACGTTCTGTTTGTAAACCTAGCGAATAAAATTTGTTCCCAGTTGGATACTTTATCTATATACGGATATTTTATTTGCTCTCAAACCGATCACATGCTTTAAAGTCTCACGTGATTCCGTCATGACGTAACCAATGACGAAATAGAATTAGAAAATTAACCGAGCCTTACCTTAAGGTGAAGGTTGATTGAGATTCTATGAGTTCATTGGTTGTCATGATGGAATCAGGTGCCCACCCGTTGCACCGTGGCATTAACCACTCCGATGGTCATGAATAGCATGCTGATATTGGACCCACCCGGGTATACTGTTATTTAACTATTATTGTGATCGTTATGAGAGGGGACTCTCATTGTGTTTTCATGGGTAGATGTGGATTGAACTTACTCCATTACACCTAGTATTTTTCCCTTAGGCAACATAATATCGGCGGACAATGAGAGTCCAGCTTTAAAAACTGACGTTAGAAATGGCGCTCCATCTCACCTGATTCCATCATGACAACCAATGAACTCATAGAATCTCAATCAACCTTCACCTTAAGGTAAGGCTCGGTTAATTTTCTAATTATATCCCCAACTTCAAAAGTACCTCTTGAATTCTTCATAATAGTTTAGTTCATACTTCATTTATTTACATTCTTCATTTCTTGCAGGTAGTGATTCTGGATATGTACACTCACTATCTCCCATCAAAAAAGGGAGAAATGGGAAAGACTATTATTCCTTCCAACTACAAACTGGTGAAACAAACTTGGTACGGTCTGTAGGCTTTGACAAAGTCTCTCACGAAAAGATCAACCACTTTGTGAAAACTGGAAGTGCTGTCAAGCTGGTCAATATCAACAAAAAGGATGACCAGATTTTCATCAATTCGTCTTCGTCGGTTTTTGAAATTGCGAAAGATGAAGTCCCTTTCAGAAAAATGGAAAATTTAGATTCTGGCGAGTGCACCAAATGTCAATTCTATTGACATCAAGTTAGAGCAGCTGCAAACTCTATCCACAAGGCAAAATGTGAATGTTGAAGTTGTTCTCACACTGGGTTCAGAGGCAGCAAAACAAGTGAGTATGCATAATGGCAAAACAGTGGTGTCAGTGAAAGAAGACTGCATCATTGAAGATGAAACTGGTTCTGCAATTGTGCACATTTGGGAAAATTGCATAAGTCAGTGTAAGAATGGTGTTGCATACAAAATCAATAATCTGACAGTAAAAAACTTTTCGGGACAAGTGTTCCTAGCAACAACTACGAATACAACATTTACACCAAGTACTTTTAAGAAAGATCAATTAAAGGGAAAAGAAGAAATGTTGGGGACGGAAAAAGAGCTTGTTGTTCCAGAATTCAAAATGATTGAGAAGGTACAATCATTTTTTATATGTCAAAATAAGTCCTGCAACAAGCGTATGCCCGTCGTTGAACTTGGTTCAGCCATTTTCACGTGTGAAATTTGTGGGACATCACAAAAAATTAAGAATGCAAAAAAAGCGTTGTCAGCACGTTTGTGTGTGGAGTTGGATGGAGAGGATTTGTGGCTCTCGGCATTTACTGACGTCATGCTGTCCTTAATGCTGAGGGCAGGACTTGACAATTCTGCAAGTGTAGACGATATAATTAATGGTGTGCTAAATTTGGAGACAATTAATATTCAAGTCAAAATATCTTCTAAAAGCATGATTTAGAACTGCTGTTGAGATATTTGCCATACTAGGATGATTCTTTGAAGCCTGTTTAACTTTAATAATCAATATTATTTAAATTAAATGACAACAATATTCTTTGTTTTCCATTTTGATCTTATATGTATGGTCATTGAGCTTAACAAGCTTTGAACAATCAATTCCAGTTTGGCCACACATTTTGTAAATAATTAAAACATTTTTGGTGGGGATTTGTTTTGTTGAAAATGTACATTGGAATTATCTAATTTATATTGTAAATCATTTATTTTTAAAATTTATTGGGATTTGTTTTGTTAAATTGGGATTTGTAATTGATATATTTTGTATTGGGATTTGTTTTGTTGAAATTGGACATTGAGGTTAGGTAATTAACATTTTGTAAATGATTAATTTTTAAAATTTATTGGGATTTGTTTTGTTAAATGGGGATTCGTAGTTGATATTTGCAAATAATTAAATTTTCTAAAATAAATATAATTACATGTTGTTTGATTTCAGCCAGCAACTCATTATATGAAAAATATCATTCAGATTTCTGTAAATTAAAATATATCCGTACTCTGCCCTATGTCAAGAGTCAAGCCATTTGAGCTGTTCAATATGCGAAATTCATTATGCATATTGAACAGCGTTTTCCTTTCAAAATTTCATACTACTTCGGATTGCTATTAAAGTGACCAGTTATAGCAGTACTGTGAAACAGAACTTTTATTGGTTTTATATACACATCCAACTCCTTGGTGTGTCAAACATTTTACTATTTTACTGTTAATTCCAAATTCGAATCAGCCAACAACCACACCTGATCGCTTCGTTTTAGAAAATTTAGTTTTGCTTGGAAACTTTGCACTATCCTTGGATCCCTGGTTTACTATGGCAATACTTTGGGTTTGCCATCAATTTACAATACCCCCATAGTGACCATTTATTTATTTATTTATTAATGGCCTGTCTAACTTTATGAGAGAGTGGCAGGTATAACATCATGGCATTGCCTTATACTAATCCTTAATTGGGCTTATCCTCCATTGCGCTTTTCTGGTGGCTTTCAAATTTTGGTGAGTCAGGAAAAGGAAAGAAAAAAGCTGAAAGTTGTTTCGCATGGCCCATGCAGTACAGAGCAACTGAGATGCTTCGGCAATGGCCGAATCTATGTGCGACCGCTTCAAAGAAGTATTCCTTTGATGGAAACTGTGCGTTTTCAAGAAGAAAAAGAAACATGTTTATCATGCGGTGAAAGCATTTCTGTTAGTGAAATGTGCGAGCATGTACAAGTTTGCAACGTGTAATTTCAGATAAAAATGTGTTTACAATGAGAGATTAGGCACGCATCTATTTCAATCCTATCTGTCAATCCACTCATTGCAAATCCTAAGACAAAATTACATAGACCAAAAGAAAATGACAAACATGTTCCTTTTAACAAAATATTTAACAATTCCTACAGCATTATAATTCTGCAAATGAGACTGAAGAGGGAGACGTGAATACCTTAACTGAAATTAACAGTGAAAGGTTAATATCAATTCATAGAATGTTAGAAGTTAAAACCTAATATGACTATAGTTTGCCACTGTATGTGTACGAACTGTTTACAATAAAGCATTGGATATTCAATTGAATCAATAGTAATGGAGCTTCATGCTTCTTAAAATTTTGCTTTATACGGTATAGGTGATACCCCATCTCATTTATTCTTGAATTTATCTTTAGAAACGACGTCGTTCAAGTTACGGATGATGACATGTTAATTAATACAACCTCTTTGCCGTTAAACGATCAGATCGCCCCAACACAATCAGGCTCTAATACTGATGCGAGAGACAGTGACTCAATAGCACCAGTCCCACAACCAAATGAAACGGCGTTGGAAATCGAGGACAGCAATTGCACTGAACTTGAAAACAGGTATTACCTAAATAGACAATTTCAATGATACACAGAATCAAAATAAACATATATTTCTTTCATATTTTAACATTCTCAACATTCTGTTTCTTCTAGCCTGGAAGTAGATCCTATGGCTCTGCCTTACGAAGAACACCTATGAAACGCCATGGACGCAACACTAAACGCAATGCAGCTTGCAAAAATTATCAACAAACTATATTTTTATAAGCCAGGTTTTTTTATAATACTATTGCAGAACTGCAAATGATGACCCTGTCCAAGTGCTGCGAACCTTCTCTTGCCACTTTCTTTGGGGTCGTCCACTCAACATTAGCGAACTTAAGCAAGCAACGTTTTCACGACGACGGCGACGCCATTTCTCGGTTTAGACTGGGACGAGCATAATTATGCACGTCTTCCCGCCGTCGCGGTCTTGTCCAAGACCTGAAAATTTGATTTTGACGTTATATTTACTCACGCTAAAACGTGAGTAAATATAATCGTTTTAACTTACTTATGAGTACAATTTTAAAATAATTGTTATTTCTCTGATCGTTTAGAAACGCATTAAAACTAACATGATGGTTTTATAGGTTTTATAGTACCAGATGGCAACCGCAAGTGCTGCTTCGAAGTCCATTTGTACAACAACAAAGTAAGTTCAAGCTTCATTGAAATTTTAAGGTAGCATTGCGGATAGTCATTGGAATAACTTTTTCTATCATACACGGTCATTCATAATTTTGGTTTATCAAGTGAAACAAAAAATCAGTGTTTTCTTTTTGCAATTTGCACTGCACTTTTTATACAGGTAAATTTTTTACTACAAAGTAGTTTAATAAATCGCAAAAAATGTGACATAAATTTGCTTTTTAGAGTCAAAATGGTTGATATACTTTGCCTATAAGATAGTAATAGGAAAACATATGCACTTATTTAAATGGAGACCTAAATTTACCGTTAACAGACCCATGAAATGGACTGAATCACATGATATACTTTTGGCAAGAGAGGTTTTAGTATCAAGTATATATGAGATCAGAAATGGCAGTGTGGAGAGAGGAAAAGAGTGGGACAAAAATAGTTGAAAACCTCAACGCATTGGAAAGTCCAAAATTCTATGTATCCAAGCGGGCAATACGGGATCGGCTTAATTTACTTATCAAAGGATACAGAGCAAAAGTCAGAGAAGAAGGTCAGTCCAGTGGAATAAGCCCAGATGAAGATGAAATTGACTCATTACTAGAGGAAATTTGTGATAAAGAAGAAGAATGGATGCTTAATCCTCCTATTACATCCAAGGTAAAGAAAGCAGAAAATGACAGAGCCACAGCTAATGAAATAAGACTTCAAGCCTTGGAAACTGTAGGAGAGACTACTAAAAGAAAGGAGAAAAATGAAAGGGAGCATACAACAAAGAGAAGAAAGAGTACTGGTGAGGCTATTGAATATTTAAAAGAAAAAGCTAAAGCTGACCTGTCTCTGAAAGAAAGGGAGTTTGAGCTTAGAGAAAAAGAGCAGTCAAATAGTGCTTTGTTATTGCAAAACCAAAGCCAAATGCAACAGGACATGCTGATTTTTATGCAGCAACAACATCAAGAACAGAAGAGACAACAGCAACTTCAGCAACAACAGCATGCACAAACCATGCAACAAATGTTCCAACAACAACAAATGCAAAGTCAGGCTTTGATGGCTCTCTTAGAAAAATTTGCTAACAAATAGGACACAAGGCATGTACACTTATGTAAGTTGTGTTATTATTTACATAGCTTTTTTAACTGTTAAATTTAGAATATAAAAGCTCTTCTATTTTATTTTCTGGACAATATGGACAATACAATGTTAAAAAAATTGGAAAATACAAAAATATTAACACTTTTAAATTGATGTTTGCAGTTCAAATGTAATAAATACAAGTTTGTTAAACTCTTCTGTTTATGGTTCTTAATTCACAGCAAAGTATTCCTCCAGAGTAGGTGGTTCCAAGCCAAAGTACTCAGCTGTTTGGTTGCCATACATGCAGGTCAATGCATTTCGAAGAAGGGAACAAACAACATACATCTTACCAACGCTACTCAAACCAATTTTTAGATTTTTTTTAAAATCTAGGAATTTAAAATAATTTATTATGTCACCGAACAACCATTCGACAGATACTCTTGTGGCGCTCATGTTGGTGTTGAACATCTGCATTTGGTTGGTTAGATTTCCTTGTCGAAATGGTGCCTGTAGGTGCACCCTTAAGGGATATGCTGGATCCCCATACAAGCACATTGGATCTCCCCTTGTTGAGAAAGCTTCTGCCTCTAAGGTCTGCAGCAGTCCTGACTCAGCCAACATACCAGCATCATGTCTTTTCCCCTCTAGGTAAGTTAGTGTTGACAAAAAATGAATATGATAACAGTTATAAAATTTATGATTTCTCTCCTAGCAACATTAGATACAGTCCCATCCATTTTTAAATTACCCTCTTTAAAAATGGCTGAAAATAACTTTAAAACTCCAGTACGTTTATTATACTCCACTCTTCAACAAGGGTATTCATACTAACCTACAGGTCCATAAAGGTTTGCAATCATACCATTTGGAACAACAACAGACTGAAATTTCAGGGAATGTACTTTCTTGTGCCCATTATAAACCAGCCTCTGGTTTTGTCTAGGCCTGCAGATCGGACGGACTGTTCCATCAATGAACCCGAAACAGTTTTGTAACGGGGCACCTTTTTGATGAATGGATGTTGCATAAACTTCTAAGAGGTCAGGGCTCAGAAGGCCGTTGTTCCATTCAGTTATGCGGTGGTGATGAGTTTCGTAGATGTAGTTTAACACATGATTTGTAATCATGCATATTTCGGGAACAGGTCTTCCGAATAAGGTTATCATATCCCCGTACCTGCAAGGATAGGCGAATCGCTTCATCAGCATACACAAGCCCTCCATACCATCAGCAATACTTCGCTGGTACATCTTAAACGAGGGAGGAATCTGCAGAGCATTAGCTAATGAATGTAAATCTTTTTTTTCCACACGAAAATTAGCCTTGCTTTCAGCCTCCAACAACTCGTCGAAATCGAACTTGGGGGTGTCTTCGTAGGTGAAATCTGGATTTTTCGAGTGAAAATAATCGTACAGTAACACAAATTCATCGTTTGAGATAATTTCATCAGCATAAGAGTAGGCTATAATTTCACGAACTTCCCTAAATGACATTTTGTTCACGTCCCCGTTTGTTTTTGCTTAATGATTTGTTTTTCGCGCTAAAACGTCGTCCTCGGGCCAGTCTTTCGCGGTTAAATGGCGTCGCCGTCGTCGTGAAAACGTTGCTTGCTTAAGTTCGCTATTAAGGACCCAACAGTGCAACTGGAAGGTGAAACAACAGATGTTTTCGTGATGTGGGAAAACATTTACGAAGACAGCATGGACGAGTTGTTGGGTGGACTTGGTGTAAGTGAACCAAGTCTTCCTCTAGAAGTCACTTTTACTGGCGAGTGCGCACAGGATCTAGGTGGTCCTCGGAAAGAGTTCCTAGGTGCAACGACCCGGGAGATTAAAGATAATTTATTTGTGGCTGGCAGCGATACCTACATTTTACGTGAAGATGTCGTCACAGAGAGTCATATGTACTTCTTTGGAGCTGGTCTTGTATTTAGTAAGAGAAACATATTATTATTAAAATGTAACTTCCTAAGTGGACTAGTTCCAAGCAAAATATTTTAAATTTAGAAAAACGGTTGAAGATACTCACGAAAAGCTTTGAACATTACCTGAAATGAACAGTGTGGTAGCACAAATCTTTTCAGTTGATGCCTTTGTTAATCCCGATTCTGTTCATTTAATCTTTAGGTTACAGCATGTTACAAGGCGGACCGAAGATTTGCTGAGCAAACTTTTTGGTGTTCATGGGGAACAACTGAACACTGCCGAAGAACAACTTCGCGACGACTTTTCCAAATTTGGATTAGTAGAGGTAATTACATTTGTTATACAGCCACAGAACACTAAGTACAGTAAACAAATAAAAGAAGTGTATTTATGATTTATGTGTATCCGTTATGTTCACTAAGATATGGTTGATTATAAAAACAGGCATGAACATAAAACGTCTATTAATTTCATTTTTATTTCAGCTTATCAAGGAAAGATCATCGATGCTCTTCCTATTATGAATAACAGCATGCCATCCCTTGACGTATCCGAGGATCGTAAAGATTTTAGCGCCAAAATTTTCGGAGCAGGGTTCCAACAAGAGGATGAAAGAGAACAGAGCATACAGGCTTTTTTTAATTATGTTAAAGAAGTTGCTGGTATGTTCATATTTTCTTTCGTTCTGCACGTTTTATCAATTTAACTGATTACCTATAACATTTTTTATATAAGTCCTTTAGCTGGGAGGCTAGAAAGTGTATTGCTGGGTGATATGTTAAGATTCGCCAATGGTTCAGAGGATGAGCCTGTTCTGGGTTTTGCAATCCAGCATACTTTGTGTTTTAGTGACGGCATGCGTTCATGCCTACCAACCTCCAACACATGCATCAACCTTTTACATCTGGCTATTGGTGAAACTGTACCTAAAAGTCAAGATGAAATGTTCCAAAAAGCATTTAGCTTTCAGCAACACCTATTTTGGATTGGCGTAACGTAATCGTTACCGATTTTTATGTATATATTATTAGTAGTTTACAATATTAGTTATAATATTTACAACACTATTGTTCATGCAAATTGTTACTTTAGTGTACTTTTTTATTGAAAAGTAAAATACACACAACTTTCCAAAACAAAGTTCACCTTTAAAAAACATAAGCTGCTCTTGCATAATAGAAAATCTTGGCCGTCCTTGCCTCCTGACAGTTTCATCTGATGGAGCTTGATAGGGTTCGTATCTTCTTTCTATCCCAATATCTCTTTTCAATAATTGAACTGCTTTATTTATGCAGTCAACAACGATATTGTTTAAAAACAGAGTTTAAATTATCTTTAAACACATACCTTTATACTGAGATCTTTCCGGGGAAAAATTTGCCAATAAAAATCAAAAAAGCTTGGAAAATGTTGCCTAATTTAATCTATGACTAATTTCAATTTTGGACGGCAAATTTTCATATTTACATTTTATTCCGCCAAATTTCTTTGTGAATTCCTTGTGATTTCCGTAAATTTTCTTTCAGGGAAGTGTAATTAACAAGATGGAAGCATCTTGTTGATTCACTTCACATCATGATGAATCACTTAACAACAAGACGCACCAAGCACGCACAAATTACATCAGATCAAAATATGCTGTGTCATTTCACTTGGACGCGAGTCGTTTTACCTTTCTTTGGTGAAGCCATTTCACATCTTGAGTGATTTCACATTTGAGCTATTTTAAAACACATCAGATGGCATGAATTGTTTGTGTGTCACTCTTAAACGACTTGCTGCGTCACTGCAAAAAACATCAAACCATTTCACTTGGTTCATACGAATCAGCTCAATAATAGCAGAATTAATGCACAGTGAAGTCAATCGTTTTAAATTTGAACCAGTCATTTCTTGTTTTGTCCAGTCTAATTACTACAATAGGTTCAAGCATTTCTAAACACGTTGAATCATTCGTGTTTGTTATGAATGATTTCTGTTTATCTCCATTCATTTCACATGTGTAACATTTTTGGTGGTAACAGCCGCCCATATTTTCGTTCTTGTGGCGCTCAGGCGTGTACATGATTATGGGCGTGTACATTGGTCTATTATAGACCAAGTAGATTAATGTACACACGCAAGCGCCACGAGAACGAAAACATGTCTGGGCTGCCTATGAAAATACGCGAACAAAAAGTGTGAAATTTGTAGAGATATTTTGATACTTATTGAGAGAGAAAACATGGCTAACAAGGAATTTCAAGACAAACTGGAAAAGCTATCATCCTATTTCTTCGACCCTGAAAATCCAGACCCGCGAAAAAGCATACATTGTTTAACATGTGGCTTCCAACACTGTGTGCACTTCCAATGCAACGCACTTCTTAACGAAGAAAAAGCGCAAAAATCTGGCGACAAAGAATTTGTATGGTGTGAACATCTCGAATGCAAGATTCTGCGTTTCCGTGTTCGATTTTGCATAAAATGCATAAAAGATATGGAAACAATTGAAATGACAAGTGAAGAACCCGTACAACTTGATTCAATGTAGGTACAAATCTTCCACTTACAATCTATAATTTTTTTACAATCTTTTTTTCCTCTCAAAAATAAGGATTGATTTTCCTGAAAAAAAAAAGTGGAAAGATGAAAGCTCACAGGAAAGGGTGAAGATGTGCTCCTCCCTCACCGTATATGTTATGAAAAAAAAAGAAAGCAAATACACAAATGAGGAATTGGCGAGTATGGAGTCACTTCCACAAGATGCCAATGAAGAAATTGAGCATCTTACCCTATATGGTGAGCATGAGTTTGTCCTGCAAAAAGCCCGAGTAGAATGTTTGGCAAATCAAGGCTTCACAAAATCACACAGGCAGAGCAAAGTTTCATTATGAAAGCATGCGGGTGCAATTATGAAGTTGAAAGATTTGAAGAATTCTTCGAAAATGAGTAAACAGACTTTTTTTCGCACATCACCTTGATGATGAGGGATATGCACTGCACCTTTTTCCCTTAAAAAATCGTAAGAAAAAATCCTTTTTTTAGAGACATACTCAATGCTTAAAATCATGTTACATTAATTGAAAACTGATATGGGTAGAAATTACAGACAAATCAAAACACATAATGAATGAATTCAACTTTTTTCTAATTACCCTTATGCTCAAGGAGGAAGCCGTTGAGGATCCATTATATTATTCTCTCCGAAATCCTAGATCCTGATAAACAACAAAACCGGATAGAAAATCACCAACGAAATCTTCTTCATTCTGGTTTCGATTTGTCAATGGACACAAAATGAAGCATTATGTTTGACTGCTTTGCACAAACAAACTGCTTTGAACAATTAACTGCTTTGAAGGATTAACTGCTTTGCATGTATTGTACTCATTATTCTTCAAATGATTTTTTGTAATAACATTTTTTATTCTTAAAAAAAAGTCATTCTTTTGTTAAAAGCTGTTACTGATTCGTCAATAGCTGTTACAACATTTCAGATCTTAATAAATAAACTATTAAAAGCTGTCACGGATGTGTGTTTTTCTGATTTCAATTCAAATACGTGTTACTACTCAATTGTTAATTATTTATTTTTTAAAACTACTATCGTCAACCGCGACAGTGATCAGATTTTTCCCCCCTGCACCTTTGACCCTGCCATATATGACGTCATTCTGCGAACATGACACCACCATCACCCATTAACTTGATTTAATTAAGTTAATATCTTTAATACAGGTCACATGACACACAAACATGAACCAGCACACTTCCTTTTTCACACTGACCTCATTTTTTTAACAATCTGGATGGTCAATGCTACGGTACCCCCGTCCGTAGAGCCTGATTTCTTGCGTAAACAGGATGTGACGTCATTTTTTGTAATACTAAAATATAATAAAAAAATCACATCTACTCCAGCTATAGTTAACTACAGTCACACTTGGTAAAGGCAAGGCGGAAAAGCAAGATTAGTGTCAAGATAATTAAGGTGTGTTAACACCACAGGCAAGAAGCGATAATGAGCTATAAATATGTACAAGTGTTGCTGCCAAGAGGAAATATAAGGTAAATAATATTTGCGGCATAAAGATTAAACTAGGTGAGTCTATTTCCTAACAGAATTATAAACTATAATCTAGGTGAGGCTATATCCTAAAAGAATTGTACATTTAAATGTTTTTAAAAGTTCCTTGCACACAGTCTGGAAACGACATAATATTAGAGCAAAGTTATTTGGTGACAAGGCGCTACAGTAGCCCCCAGCTAGTGCAGAAGTTCATTAACGATATTAATGATAAAGGATGGACACATAATGCACAGGAAAATGGACATGTCAGCCAGATCTTGTCTTTCGTACAGGTGGTTCATCTTGAGTTGTGGAAGTTGTTGGATTTGCAGACGGTGGAGTGGAAAGCAACACAATGTCTGTGTCAAGATGTGCAGGCTTGAAGCGATCGATGGAGACGCTGTCAGTACGAGTGTCGAGGTCGACTGAAAATGTTTTGTAGACTGCAAAAGAATTTTAAAGGGGCCATCCTAATCTTAGAGAAAATGGTAGCGCCGTGCAGTACGTTAGAGAAATTGAGAAGGTGTAGAACTGGGTTTGATCAGGTATTGTGGCACCGTTAACCATATAAAGTGGTGAAGCCCAAGGACTGCT